TTGTTCAATGCACTTACTCAGTGTTTGAATTGGAGCATAGTCTCCTGGTGATATGTTTATGTAAATTTGTGTGTCATCTGCATAGCTATGGTAACATATTTTGTTGTTCTTCATTATCTGAGCCAGTGGTAGCATGTAGACGTTAAAGAGAAGAGGCCCCAAGATGGAGCCTTGAGGTACCCCACATGTAATATTTGTCAACTCAGATGTGTATTTACCTATAGAAACAAAGTTGTTTCTGTCCTTTAAGTAGGATTCAAACCAATTTAGAACTGTTTCCGAAAGTCTCACCCAGTTTTCCAGTCGGTCTAGTAATATGTTGTGGTCAACAGTATCAAACGCAGCACTGAGATCTAATAATACTAACACTGAAGTTCTGCCACTGTCTGTGTTTAAGTGGATGTCATTGAAGACCTTTACAAGAGCAGTCTCAGTGCTGTGGTTTGGACGAAAGCCTGACTGGAACACATCGAAACAACTATTTAAATGCAAGAAATTACTCAACTGTTGAAAAACAACTTTTTCAATGATTTTACCTAGAAATGGCAGGTTTGATATGGGCCTGTAATTGTTCATTACTGAAGCATCTAGATTATTCTTTTTTAAGAGCGGTTTAATGACTGCAGTTTTCAGGGCCTGTTGAAAAATACCTGAGTGAAGAGATTTGTTTACTATATGAAGTAGATCTGAGGCCATGCAAGTTAAAACATCTTTGAAAGATCCTGTTGGAATAATATCAAGGTAACAGGAGGAGGACTTCAGAAGTTGTATAATGTCCTCTAGGTTTTTATCATTAATCTGATGGAATTGTGTCATGGTGTTTGAATTGATTTTAAGTGGACACAGAGACAACACATTTGCTGTACCTGATGCAGAGGCACTGACTGCTTGTCTGATTTTCTGAATTTTGTCAGTGGAGAAGGAGGTAAAATCATTGCACGGTCTGGTGGATAGAAATTCAGAGGCTACTGACACTGGGGGGTTAGTTAGTCTGTCGACGGTAGCAAACAAGGCACGTGTGTTGTTTTTGTTATTGGTAATGATGTCAGAGAAGAACGATTGTCGTGCGTTTTTCAATTCCAAATTATAAAGGCCAAGTCTCTCTTTATAGATTTCAAAGTGAACCTGGAGATTTGTTTTTCGCCACCTGCGTTCAGCTTTTCGACATTCTCTTTTTTCTGTTTTCACGGTCATGGCCTTTCTCCATGGAGATATTTTCTTGCCAGACACTTCCTTTACCTTAGTTGGAGCAATGGCATCTATAACATTTTTAATTTTTGAATTAAAATGGTCTAATAGCTCATTTACTGAGATGTTAGCAGGGGCAAGTGTGGAAGAAAAATTCTGAGTAAACATTTCCCTAGTGTTTTCAGTTAAATATCGCTTTGTGGTTACCTCTTTTTGAACATTTTTGTGAACAGAAATAGAGCTCTCAAAGAAAACACAGGAATGGTCAGAGAGTGCAACATCAGTCACCACAACCTTAGAGATATTCAGACCCTTTGATATAATTAAGTCCAGAGTGTGCCCCTTATTGTGCGTGGGCTCCGTCACATGCTGAGTCAGTCCATAGCTATCAAGAACACAAAACAGTTATTTTGCCTCTCTGTCCTGGGGGTTGTCAACATGGATGTTAAAATCACCAACAATGACTATACGGTCAAAGTCAATACACACTATAGACAGCAGTTCGGTAAAATCATCAAAAAAGCTTGCACAGTATTTGGGTGGTCTATAGATATTTAGTAACAGAGCTCGAGAGGAGCATTTCAGCTGAAGGGCCACATATTCAAAAGAAGCAAAGTTCCCATAAGATGTTTTCCTGCATTGAAGGGAATCATTGAACAGAATAGCAACTCCACCCCCTTTATCATGCATTCTTTCCTGACTAAAGTTGGGAGGGGTTGATTCGATAAGAACAGCTGCACTGTGATTTTGTTCAATCCAAGTTTATGTTAAAAACATTAAATCGAGATTGTGCTCAGTGAGAAAATCATTGATTAAAAATGTTTTTCCTGCCAAAGACCTGACATTTAATAAAGCTAGTTTAAGTTCGTTAAACACACTATCAGTCAGGTGTTTTGTAACAAGCTGTGGCTGACATGGAATCACTGCTAAATTTGATAAACTCACACAAACGTTTGAGCGCTTCCTGTATCTAAGATGATTCACCGCTCTTAATCTATTACCTATCAACACAGATATCGGCAAAGCTACAGGCAGGCAGGGCCCCGGCATGTCCTGGAAAGAGTTGAGTGCCATACGCCCTTGAGCCTGGACCCAGCAGATATCAGTTTGCAGCGTTTTGTACACACACATCCCTATCAGGCTTTGACGGGGAGGGAGGACCCACCACCCTGCTCCTCTCATCATAGGAGGGCAGGGTGAGGGCTACACTGTAGAAAGGGGGGTTTGGAAATCTGCTTCCATCTTCCTGGTATTGTTTTGTTTTGGTTGATTGTGGTAGGCATGGTGATGAAGCCGGGGGAGATGGTGCGCGTCTTTGCTTCGGTGATTTTGGTGGGCGTCGTTGAGGGGCGGGGGTAAAGGACATGCTGCCAACCCTGCGTTTCACCTTCATGCGGTCATCGAACTCCAGGGGGGTGGGCGAGGGTGAAAGGGTGAGTGGAGAGTAGAGAGAGCTGGGGGATGAATGAAGAGTATCCTCTAAGGCGTTGACAGGGGGGGTGACGGGCAGTGGAGACTCCTCCATGTGTCTCATCAACCCAGTCTCATAAAAAAACGTGTAATAACTACGTTGGTCCACAACGTAGGACGTAGTATTTCTACAAAAACGCCTCTGAAATTGTAAAATACCTACGTTTTTTTTCACCATTCATTCCAATGACTGGCGTCTATGTCACGTGATCTTCACATTTCTCCCTGCAGAAAAAAAAAAACATGGCCGAACTTCGTTTTATTCTCGGTGTAAAATGCCTAATTTAAAGTTAGTTTGGCCATTAAAATGCCTTTTGATGTCATTTGATGCGATAAATATGAGTTGTTATTTCACATTATGTGTGCAGTGGATGCACATGATCTTTAGTTTGCTAGTTATTAGGCTACGAAGATTACTTCAGGAAATTGTGTCTATACAACGTTTTCATTGTCACCAAGGTGGTTGCTAGGGATGCTGCTATCGATACTTGAAATGGGACCACGGCAGAATGTCCAAAACTGGATTTGAACGGGTCCACCCCGTCCCCAGAACTACACATGCTGGCTATTGTGTTTCGCAACATGTTCTCTATCTATGGCACATCTCTACTGGGAGTGTAGTTTTAAAAGACGTTTTCGTATTTCCCATAATAAGAAGTGGCCAGTATTAAACTGTGTACATCCCTGGAGGTTTAGGGGATAGGAAACACTCAAATGTAAAACATATAATTAATAAATGGGTGAAAATTGCTTGTGCCCATAATGGGTAGCATTACCCACATGCCAGCTAAGGTCAGAAGAGCTTTATTTAACAGCTGGACTTATGTTTGTGACCCCTCCTGTTGTTAATTGATGAGCCTGAAACATGCACTTGTCAAGGTTCAGAGGCACATTTTGCAAATCTGGCAGTAGCCATCGATTATCTTAAGATAAGATATACTTTATTGATCCCAAGTTGGAAACATTTGCGTTACATCAGCATGTGTAACAGTTGTAAATATGCAGTGGTGTTTATTTGTAAATCATTTAGTATAATCACACACATTTTGTGTTTTATATTTAATAATTCTGTGTTCTTTATTTATTGATTGTTCAATACCTGACAAGGCCGGAGATGAAAAACTTTGGTCGCAGGTTCCTCAACAGTGCATTACAAGACATCTATCAATATGTGTGTACCTCCACCATTAAACTGTCGTATTCTGCACATTTATTATACTATCTACATACATATTATATAAGAGTATAATACATATGTATAATATCAGTTAAAATAAGTGCTTCAACATAGTTAACATTGCTGGAGGTATACACAAAGTTTTTCATTCATTGCATAACTACACCGTTTGTGTATATGATATGTCAATAAACCTTAGAAAATCTTGAAAGGGATGTGCAAAATAGTCATTATATATAGTCTTTAATTAACTATTAGTAGAGAATAACGAGTAATGAATATACTTTATAGGGATCCTATTGATATCTAATAATAAAAATAATGAAATTCAATAACATGCTTTAACCACTAGGTGTCCCTTTATATCAGCTGTGCACCTTTATGGTGTAAATACAGCCTATCTACCAATTGGATCAAATATAAAAGTCAGCCGAATTAGTGTTGATACTGCAAGGAGACGTATTGTGTGAAAAATAAATGTAAGATGTTGTTTAATGGCTGATCTATTCATGATCCACGTCACGTTTTCAGTTCCTCATGTTTGTCTAGAAGTCTTCTCATCAGGGCTCTATAAATACAGAACTACGGCAGATATGTAATATTTAATGCAGCCGAACCGTGTATTACAATGCCGGTATGTGATGACTTTCAAAGAGAAAAGCAAGCAAACTCGGAATAAAGTATTTTTTTTTTAAATAGATGAAATACCAAAAATAACCAGCATGGTTTATAATCCTAAACAAACCAACAACCATCAGCATTAGAATAGGCCACGGTGTTTCCAACAAACTTGTAGGCTACATACTAACTATGGCTCACAACTTATTTAACAGAGGTGTTAATTACCTTAGATAATATTCATAATCATGAATGAATCATGAATGCCTGTCAGGGTTTTTACATGTAGTCATTTACTTTGTACTGGGATGCACCCTGCGAGGCCAAATGTGCTAGTTTGACTATAGCGAAGGATATTATTCTGAAACTTAAATTCGATATTGGCCCTGAAGAAAAAACAACGTTTATAAAGTGTGTCACATACAAACAGAAAAATAACCAACGCAATAACAAAAAGGAAAGTTCACTGCAGTCAAGATATTGAAACATAAATGAATGAAATCAATGAATACAAGCAGAAAAAAAAAAGTTCCTTCAGAACACAAGATAATGACATGTACTTTATTCATCTAACATTTCCTTGAGCATCATCATTAAGGATCCTACAAGCACGATATACTCATTGAAAGAAACAGTGCCATCCTTGTCCCCATCCAGGCCGGTGAAGAATGCGTCTAACTGTTTTTTGTCTCCCTAAAGAGATAAAGTCCACAGAAGTTTTTATTAGATTTTAAAACATAAACATTTTTTAAAGGGGCATACACAGATCTATATTACAATAGTGCTTCATCTTTTTTACTTACGACCATTCCAGGAATCTCCTTGTGGAGCATTTCAGAAAGTTCTTTCTTGCTCATTGAACCTTTGTCTCCGTCTGTTCCAGCATACTTATTGAAGTTCTTCATCAATACTGCCATGGCCCCCAGCATGCTTTCTCCCATGTTTGCTGAAACGAAAAAATACTGTTGACTGTGTAGTTCAGTGTTTATTTATTTATAAAGGATTCTTGGAGCGTGCTAGGATCAAGATTCTTACTGCCCAACCATCATTTGTCTTGTGAACATTACTGATTATTTTAAAACGGTGCGATAAAGTCTTAAATATGTTGCCTTCTCATCTTTTCTTTAAGGGGTAATTACTAAATGTACCCTTGGTTTTGAACAACAGACATGATAAAGTCATGTTTGGGTGGGGCAAGAGAAAAGCTCATTAGTGATTTGGTGTGGTAGGCAATTCTGCATCTTTCCAAAACAATTCAAGGCCACCAAACACATCTAGTCTGATTTCCAGACTCCTTTACTTGTTGTTCCTCCTTCAATTCATCTCAGTTTCTCCTACCTTTTGCATGACTTTTCAAACAACTTTGCATTTTCAAATTGACAGAATTCCCACAAATTGATGAATGTCACTATAATATGTAAATCAGAGAATTGCTATAATCTTTCTATGCATTGACATTTAAATCCTATACACAGCACTAATAAAACATAATGCTACATTTTAGATATCAACTATTTAGACAATTCAAATGCACAATGGTTAATGATTCATTCCGGCGCAGACTGAAAACACATCTCTTTCGACTCCACTTCGAGCAATAAAATAACTAACAAAGCACTTATATACTAATAAAGGGCTGGCTTATCTAAAGCCAGTTGAGTAGCACTTGAAATGTTTTGGCTCTATGAAAACCTGAGTACTTATATGATTCTGTTTTCTTCAAGTTTGTATCTTCTTGGTCGAATGCACTTATTGTAAGTCGCTTTGGGTAAAAGCGTCAGCTAAATGTAATGTAATGTCCAAATGGACTTAAAGAAAAATGTTCACTTACCAAATTCAATGAAAGCCTGAGTAGGTAGAGAGAATGGAAGAGTAGGATGTGTGAAGAGATCACGGCCACCTTGGTTTATATAGAGAGGTTGACACACCCACTTTTCAAGCACCCACGCCCTGGTTTTTTCTTTTTTCTTTATTTGTTCTCTCCGGAAAAGCTTACACAATGTCAGAGGGTGTATTCATAAAGCTTCCTGGTACAAAGAGTTTTACCTTGTGACAAACCTATCAGAAAACTCTCAAAAGGATGATGTTTTATAATAAAAGTTGCCCTTGCAGTTAAGCTGAGAACCTGCAGGTAAAGGTTATTTATAGAGTACCAGCCTTTGAGAGAGCTTCTAAGGTGACAACTAGATGAGTCATTTTAAAAGACTAACAATGATCTTATTAAGAGGAGAAAAGGGCAATTACACAAAGAGGTAGGATACATATTCTCCAAACTCTATGTAACAATGAGTAATGAAATAGATGAAATACCAAAATAACCAGCATGGTTTATAATCCTAAACAAACCATCAACCATCAGCATTAGAATAGGCCACTGTGTTTCCAACAACCTTGTAGGCTACATACTAACTATGGCTCACAACTTATTTAACAGAGGAGTTAATTACCTTAGATAATATTCATAATTACACCAAGTCTGAATAGGGACACAAATGCTATTACCTCAGTTTACTCTTTTGAAACACTTTCAAAAATGTATTTTAATGACTTTTCTATTATTAACATGTTTACTTTACATTTTCTGCTTGTATTCATTGATTTCATTCATTTATGTTTCAATATCTTGACTGCAGTGAACTTTCCTTTTTGTTATTGCGTTGGTTATTTTTCTGTTTGTATGTGACACACTTTATAAACGTTGTTTTTTCTTCAGGGCCAATATTGAATTTAAGTTTCAGAATAATATCCTTCGCTAGTCAAACTAGCACATTTGGCCTCGCAGGGTGCATCCCAGTACAAAGTAAATGACTACATGTAAAAACCCTGACAGGCATGCAGGTATTGATAGGTACCTGCATGCCTGGTATCTGTCAGGGTTTTTCACAGCAAGGCTAAAGAGTTTATAAAACGACTAACTAAGGAATCTCTCTTTATATTCTAGTCTATTTTAGTTGATTCATTGATTGTTCTAATTATTGTTTTCATGAAAGAAGCAAAACAGTAGTAACATAACTTAACATTCTCTGCATCATTTTGCTTATTTTATTATTATTTTTCTGACATCTGCATTACTTGCAAATTGGTCCTGCTACAAAATCTGTAATATGTGTTGTTCTGTTTCTTATTGCACTATTTTTATTTAATTAAACAAATGTGATATCATGTTGCATTGTTGGAGGAGCTTGGGACTTAGGTTTTCCATTGCCATATCTACACTGTACTGTGCATACTGTATGACAATAAAGCCTTTGAATTTAATCAAGTTTTTGAAGAAGTTCTAGCCCACTACAATTCAGAGGTAAATATCGTACTTTTACACTTCACTACAATTTAGTTACACCTGGATAAAGTACACAAGCTACCCAGCGGTAAATACAGTAATTAAACATAGTTCCACATTTACCAGCTGTGGTTATCATTAATACATATAATCATAACATATAATATTCTGAAATACGCCCACTCGCCCACTCAGGTCAGCTGATCACCTGCTCCTGAATGTACCCAGGCCAGAACCAAGCTAAAGCTCAAAGACCGTGCTTTCGCTGCTGCGGCTCTTCAACTGTGGAACGCTCTGCCCCTCCACATTAGACTTCTACACTGTCCGTTTTTAAATCTTAAAACCCACCTCTTCTCTTAGCGTTCTGCACTTTGCAGATTGTTGCTTTTTAAATTGTATATATTTTTACTATATGGCTGATATTTGTATTCTTGTTTATTTGGTATTCTTACTATTTATTTTTTGTTTTGTGAGCTGCAATGTGTAATTTTTTATTTATCTGTACAGCACTTTTAGGATAGATCTCTTAATTAGGAGCCAAGAGATATTATTTTAACATGTTCTATGGCATTTCAGAGTATGCTCTAAATAATATTTTTAAATGCATTTTAAAGAGAGGGCTGGCTGTAAGAGTTCTCACAATATCTCTTTGGTTTAATAACACACACAATTATAAAATGTGACAACATTTATTTTTGTTAGTTAACATCTGTCAATCAATGATTTATAGCATCTTTCAGGTTCTTTAAGCTAACATAAGAACCCATCAATGATTCATCGTTGTTTCTTCAGAACACATAACAATGACATGTACTTTCTAGATTTTATAAATATAACCTTAAGGCAAATAATTCTGAGGCAATGTTCCCAAATTACATTCCGCCCATCATCAACAGCAAGGTTGCTGCAAACTGGACAAACTCTGGGAAAGAAACAGTGCCATCCTTGTCCCCATCCAGGCCGGTGAAGAATGCGTCCAACTGTTTTTTGTCCCCCTAAAGAGATAAAGTCCACAGAAGTTTGTATTAGATTTTAAAACATAAACAGAGGCATAAACAGATCTATATTACAATAGTGCTTCATCTTTTTACTTACGGCCATTCCAGGAAACTCCTCGCGGAGCAAATCAGCAAGTTCTGCCTTGCTCATTGAACCTTTGTCTGCGTCTTTTCCAGCATACTTATCGAAGGTGGTCTTCAATACTGTCAGTTGTTGTTCAATCATGCCCATGTTTGCTGAAATGAAAAATATACTGTTGACTGTGTAGTTCAGTGTTTATTTATTTATAAAGGATTCTTGGAGCGTGCTAGGATCAAGATTCTTACTGCCCAACCATCATTTGTCTTGTGAACATTACTGATTATTTTAAAACGGTGCGATAAAGTCTTGCTCATATGTTGCCTTCTCATCTTTTCTTTAAGGGGTAATTACTAAATGTACCCTTGGTTTTGAACAACAGACATGATAAAGTCATGTTTGGGTGGGGCAACAGAAAAGCTCATTAGTGATTTGGTGTGGTAGGCAATTCTGCATCTTTCCAAAACAATTCAAGGCAACCAAACACATCTAGTCTGATTTCCAGACTCCTTTACTTGTTGTTCCTCCTTCAATTCATCTCAGTTTCTCCTACCTTTTGCATGACTTTTCAAATAACTTTGCATTTTCAAATTGACAGAATTCCCACAATTTGATGAATGTCACTATAATATGTAAATCAGAGAATTGCTATAATCTTTCTATGCATTGACATTTAAATCCTATACATAGCACTAATAAAACATAATGCTACATTTTAGATATCAACTATTTAGACAATTCAAATGCACAATGGTTAATGTCTAAATGGACTTAAAGAAAAATGTTCACTTACCAAATTAAATGAAAGCCTGAGTAGGTATAGAGAATGGAAGAGTAGGATTTGTGAAGAGATCACGGACACCTTGGTTTATATAGAGAGGTTGACACACCCACTTTTCAAGCACCCACGCCCTGGTTTTTTCATTTTTCTTTATTTGTTCTCTCCGGAAAAGCTTACACAATGTCAGAGGGTGTATTCATAAAGCTTCCTGGTACAAAGAGTTTCACCTTGTGACAAACCTATCAGAAAACTCTCAAAAGGATGATGTTTTATAATAAAAGTTGCCCTTGCAGTTAAGCTGAGACCCTGCAGGTAAAAGTTATTTATAGAGTACCAGCCTTTGAGAGAGCTTCTAAGGTGAAAACTAGATGAGTCATTTAAAAAGACTAACAATGATCTTATTAAGAGGAGAAAAGGGCAATTACACAAAGAGGTAGGATACATATTATCCAAACTCTATGTAACAATGAGTAATGAAATAGATGAAATACCAAAAATAACCAGCATGGTTTATAATCCTAAACAAACCATCAACCATCAGCATTAGAATAGGCAACGGTGTTTCCAAGAAACTTGTAGGCTACATACTAACTATGGCTCACAACTTATTTAACAGAGGAGTTAATTACCTTACATAATATTCATAATTACACCAAGTCTGAATAGGGACACAAATGCTATTACCTCAGTGTACTCTTTTGAAACACTTTCAAAAATGTATTTTAATAACTTTTCTATTATTAAGATGTTTACTTTACGTGTTCTGCTTGTATTCATTGATTTCATTCATTTATGTTTCAATATCTTGACTGCAGTGAACTTTCCTTTTTGTTATTGCGTTGGTTATTTTTCTGTTTGTACGTGACACACTTTATAAACGTTGTTTTTTCTTCAGGGCCAATATCGAATTTAAGTTTCAGAATAATATCCTTCGCTATAGTCAAACTAGCACATTTGGCCTCGCAGGGTGCATCCCAGTACAAAGTAAATGACTACATGTAAAAACCCTGACAGGCATGCAGGTATTGACAGGTACCTGCATGCCTGGTATCTGTCAGGGTTTTTCACAGCAAGGCTAAAGAGTTTAAAAAACGACTAACTAAGGAATCTCTCTTTATATTCTAGTCTATTTTAGTTGATATTAATTGTTCTAATTATTGTTTTCATGAAAGAAGCAAAACAGTAGTAACATAAGTATGAAACTAAAGGTTAAAACAAGTCTGATGGATGAAATGTTGCAACTGGTTGCTGTGTGCAGTAAAATCGGATTATTAATGTTATGGGTGTTAAGTACCGAGAGATAGATTCACCTGTAGAGACATTAAGAAGAATACCACAACAAAGGATAAGCAGAGTCAGGAGACACCATGATTCACTGGTGGGGAATGTTTGCAGGCACCGACTACACCCAACCGTTGTTCATTTACAGAAACACACCCATATCTACAGAACACATTTGCTAAGTAACTAAGTTACTAACTCTAAAGCTATTGTGAGGGTTAACCCTTTCCTTGCCAATCTTTTTCAACAACACACTAGTAGGCGTGTTGCTAGAATGACAAACATAGAAGTTGTTTTATTTGAATTCCCATGGTCCAATGCAACGGCTTATGGTTTTGTTCTTGTGTATAATCCAAGTGCATGCCGAAGTCCCAAAGATTTACTGTGTTGAAGAGCAAACAGCATACACACAAAAATATGTTTTATCTTACTTTGCTTACTTATTGATTTGCAGTTTTTCAGCATTATTTTTGAAATTATGTGTCTATCTTTCATGAAGAATATACAGATTTAACAGTTTTTTTTAGCCATACTGATTTCTGTCAGTAGTTGTTCCATCAGTGAACTGAAATACTGAAATGAATAACACAACTATTGGACAGATTGCCATGAATTTGGTTCAGATCAGTTCACATCTCATCTCTGAAATGTCTACAAATCTCTTGATGGACCCCTGTGAAGCCTCAAAGGTTTTCCATCGTGTGCCTGCATGTTTTTCTTTTTTAATTTCTGAAAACATAAATCTGACAGTTGAAATGCACACACTTGAGACACACAGTGGCAGTATCTGCAGATATTCAACAGACGTTTTACTGCTGCAAATACAAGTACAAAAGTAAAATAAATGTGCTCAGTATTAGTTTTTGATGTATGAATATAAACTATTTGTGGACTGATGAAAGCTTGGAGTGTCATACACTACCATTACTGTTCGGAGTGACCTCCTTGTTTTTGCAAAAGCAGGCTTCTGTGTGTGCTGCATAGTCTCTCACTCTTTCTTTGATCCAACGCCCACAAAACCTTCCACTACGAACCAGTTTTTAATTGTGTGTGGTGTGGGTGTGTGTCATGCAAGTGCTCTGTTCTGGCTGTAGCTATGAAGAGTATTTTAGGAGCTTTCTCTTACTTCATATTCATGTAATTAATCACATTAATCTAATTGTATACTGTAATTCAGTGAAGGTATAGTGCTTCACTTATTTCCGTCTTTTCATTTGATTTCTGTTTAGTTACATTTGTACATTCAGATGTTACATGGAAAATGTTTAACGATGATACCATTGATGATTTGAATGACTTTGACCTTAGAATACAGACACAACACACATCTGAGATTTAAAATATAGAACAAAAGAGCCACCTGTATAGCTTCTTGCAAAGGCGGAAGTAATACCATGCTGGGGTGTGTTCTTTACACTGCTTAAAGGTGCTGCTAAGGGAGGTTGATCCCTTCTGTTGTGAAAATGCACGTAAACTGAATCAGTATCTATTCTCTGAGATCTTATAAACCACTGTTGGGCTGCACATTTTGCATTTGCCATTTTCAATTTCAAACAGTTTTGCACCATATCAAGGAAAGGCATGATTATTTTTATTTTACAATTGTTTTCTTTGCTGTAGTTGAACCTCTTTCATTCTGCCCTGGTATGTAAAAAGATAGGCCCCTTGTTTAGACCAGTCTTTAAGCTGTACACATTGTCTAAAAGGGTGCAAGTAAAGTATACTGTTCAAAAACAAGTTACAAACTGGCAAGTCAAACAAAAGGCACATTTTTTTAGACCAGTGGTCAAGTTGGTACTTTTTGAAATAAACTCAACTGAGGGATTTGATTTGTTTGCATCCCATGTACATTGTTAAATTCACCTTTCATTTTTACAAAGTAGTTTGATTCCTCCATGACATATTCTGTGTACAACGACAGGAAGCACCTTCACCTTCTTATTACAGATACATGCATTTCCAAACATTTGGTCTATCTACGCTGTAAAATGTATTATCTCTTCGATTTACACACGGCATCTATTGCACGTCTGTCCGTCCTGGGAGAGGGATCCCTCCTCTGTTGCTCTCCCTGAGGTTTCTCCCATTTTTCCCTTTAAACTGTGGATTTTCTCCGGAAGTGTTTCCTTGTACGATGTGAGGGTCTAAGGACGGAGGGTGTCGTTTTCTCATACTGATATGCACAAACTGTGCTGTTGTATTTGCTGTAAAGTGTCTTTACTGTAGGGTATTTTTTATTATATGTACAGCACTTTGGCTCGACCAAAAATCGTTTAAAAATGTGCTATATAAATAAAACTTGATTTGATTTGAAGCAGGGGGGAGTTGCATATTGAACTAAAACACTTAATTTACTTGTGTGTTGTTTCTTCTGTACGGGATTCATTATAAGTCATTTTGAAGTTTGCATTAGCATTCATTTAGGCTTCCACTACTGTTGGTGTAGCTTGCTTCAGCAGTCTTGTGGGTCCGTTGCAGACCACTGTTGGAGTGGATTTACACAAAGTACCTGTATGTGTAGATTTCATGTCATACAGACTCATATTTCTGTCACTGACAGTAGCTGCATTTAAAAATCTTTAATGATATTTTATACCAACTCTTTATATCACAACTGGTTGTCATTATACACCTGCTTGCTCACACAAATAGTTGAATTAAACACTGTATCATACAATATATTACATAATAATTTCCCCTACTGGTATGGCCTGCCGCACCCTGACTCAAGTGGGAGTGGATACAATTCATAGTGATTTCATGAAAATGTAGCATTTTATGTAATCAAAACAGTGATATGGAAGCATTCCTGTTGTTTGATGGAATAAGTGGTCACCTGCGAAAAGACTCTATGAACAAGTGTATTGATTATTCTATGGTTAATATAGAATTTCTGTGCCATAATGGTAAACTCTGAATATTTTGTACAAGCCCCTTAAAATTTTACATCAAATGCCTTCTGTGTTTTGTTCATAATTTACATTCAGCAACTACTCCTGTGTGCATTTGGCGGTTGAGGATTCCTGTTTGAAAATAGATTGTTTCTGATTGAAAAGCACAGCAAGAAGTTGTCTTTGGTTTTGAATTACAGACATGATACTTGGACCTATTTCAGATCAAGTGCATTCTGTTTATTCAGATGGAACTGACTGATGGATTCATAAATGCAGAGCTTTCAAACACATTTTTGCAAATAGGTAAAGATAAATGGTTTCATACAAAAAGATGACTCCTAACACAAGTTACAGGTAGACTGAGAGTTGTGGAGACCTACATCTTAAGAAATCTGTCAAATTTGGAGATATGCAGTCTATGCACATTTTCATCCACAGCAATAACGTTGAACACAACTATGCAAGTGATAGCCATACAACCGAACAGATGAAGACGCTCACGTTGATTTCAACTCAATTATTTGTATTCATTCTTGACCAGTATTGAACAGCCTACGAAAACCAATTGACAGTGAGACAGTGAAAGTTTCATTTTCAGTGCAGTTAGTGTTACATATACACACGTTATAATGATAACTCTTCAAAGGTTTTACATTCATTCATCGGAGCAGTCCCCGCAGTCTTTGCCCTTGCCTGTCTTCTTGTGGTAGCAGTTGTTGGCAAGAGAAATCACACAACGAGAAAACTCTCTGAAGTCGATCTCTCCATCACGTGCCTGCTTCTCAAATCTTTTAGCTTTGATTTTGTCCTGAAAAAAAAATGATATTACTGTTTAAATCATGAAACACACCTGCCTAATAAAGAAGAAGCAGGATAGTAAGTGATTTGTCATCATGTAAAGTGAGTAGGTTGAGGTTCTTACTTTCATCTCAGCGCAT